TTTTTTTTTTTTATGTTTATTCATTTTTGAGAGACAGAGAGAGACAGAGCATGAGCGGGGAAGGGGCAGAGAGAGAGGGAGACACAGAATCCAAAGCAGGCTTCAGGCTCTGAGCTGTCAGCACAGAGCCTGATGCGGGGCTCGAACTCACGGACTGTGAGATCGTGACCTGAGCCGAAGTCGGATGCTCAACCAACTGAGCCACCCAGGTGCCCCTGGAATATGTGTTTCTAAGTAAATTGCAAAACAGACCAAGAAAGGCAGAAGAGTAATGATATTTTCATTGAATTGTTAGGCATTTATTATGCTGAAGGTCATTTAAAAAAAAATGCATTCTGTGTTGAAACCAGCCTCCTGAACTATAAGCACTTCGTGATCTGCCTCTGCCCTGGCCTGCCCTATGCTGCCTATCATTCTGTGTGCCTACAGGAGCCTGGCCTTACATCCCTGCAGAGATGCTAATGTCCTGTTAGAGCACTTGCTGTAGCTGGTGTACTCTGAGAAGAGGTTCGTGGGTGGGATTTTTGGTTTTATTTTGTCTTTCCTAACAAGATAACCTTGCTACTTGACCTCCCTCCCCAGACCCCCAAATTAGCTGGTGTGAGTTGGATAGTAGCTGGATGGTGCCATGAGATTCAGATAATAGTCTCAAGCCATGTAAATCTTATGGGGGTAATTATTACCACAAACCAAACTGTTAAATTAGCATGTGGTTTTTTTCCTTAACTATCCTCCCTAACCCCTACTAGTTAAAGAATATTCTTAGGAAGCATCTGTTTAAGACTGCTGCTAATAGCTAAACCTTACTCCACACCGAGGGTGGTACTAAAAGCTGTTCACATGGAAAGTGAGCCTGGGTCAGTGAAAATCAGAATTTGAGTATGTGAATGATAAAAATAAACAACCCCCGCCCCCCTCCAAGGACAATAACACCTTGCAAAGGTCTACAATCAAAAGTTGCTTTTTTGAGGCAGAAGGGAAGAAGCACAGAGCTCTGGTTCCCTGGACTAATGATGCCATGAAGCAGCAGGGAATTATTCTGATGGATCGTGTATACCCCATTTAGGAGGTACCTTTAAAAGGGGAGTGAAACTAATTTGGCTTAATAATTGTCTTCTGACTCAACTTCTAAGTTTTGGTATTAAACTTTGTGGTGATGATTGATACAATATTAGATACCTCCTCAGCTGTTTTCTTAGCATGATATTGACAAACAGTTGGTTATGGTTTCAGCCTTCCTTCTGCATTGGCCAAGTTGCCTTTTCTAGGATGATTCATGTTTTAGTGAAAGGATGTGTGAAGTGTCCCAGGGATTTCCTTTCGAAGAACCCCAAGCCACCTGGAGAAGAGTTGGAACTTTCTGGACTACTTTTGTAAAAACTGCTTTGTAATTTTCACTTCTTAAAAGTATATCTCTTGATTTTGCTCTCAGGGTCAGACAAACAAAATTACACAAATTTAGCTGTGTTTCTCACCCCCATAATCAGAATTACTCAGATTTTCCTGTCTTCCACCGAAGATCTAAGGAAACTAAGCCACTTGGTGAATATACTGGGAGAAAGAAAAAAAAAAAAAGAACGGTATTATGTGTCGTTCTGATTTCAACTACATACAGCATTAGTTGCAGAAGATCCGGAACATGTTGTGTGTAAATCTATAAATATGTACACATTGCATGTATATAAAAATTCTTCACACTTGTAGCGGTGCGCACTGGGTATCCTAAAGAATTGAGTAGGCACTGTGATGAGACATCACAAACCAGATGGGAAAGATGCAATTAATAGCCACACAGGACAGGGTATGGAGCAATTCAGGAAAATGGAGAGATTTAAGTAAAACTTGTCAGTCAGGAATCTGGCATGGAGACTGTCTTCATACTATGTGTATGTAACAGACATTTCATATTCTAGTAACAGTGTTAGCACGGACGGGTGCCTGAATTCAGGCTAGCGATACAGTTCATTGAAGTATAGCAACTGTATTCGGAAATGTATTCGGATTTCAAGGTTCCCCACTTAGGAAATAGATGCAACCAAAAGAAAAGTAATAAAGTGGTATGAGAGCAGGTATGAAAGGTGACAAACCATTGGCAACCATTCAAAGGCCAGGACAGGCCAATTTAGGGAGCTGGTGGTTGGATTAGGAATAAGGGCAGAGTACAAATGGAGGGGCAGGACGTGTGCTCCTGGGAAGGAGGCAGGGGACTGCTGGACCCTGACACTTCAGTGGTGTTGGGTAAAACGCTGATTCTCCACCTCCTCATAAGGGCTCTCCGGGCCAAGCCAAGATGGCGCGCAGTAGCATAGCGGCTCTCGTCACGTGCTGGGGCAGGGGCGTGGCCTCGGGGGAGCCGGCCAGGCCCCGCCTTTCGGGGTGGGGCCAGGGGCCTTTAGGGGAGGGAGGGGCGGGGCCTAGAGGCGAGGCGCTTAGGCGCTGGCGGAGGCTGCAGCTACCTCCGCGCTCGCTCCGCTCCCTAGGACGTGTCTGGCTCCCCCGAGTCGGGGGCGGCTCCCTTCCGCCTCGGAGCTGAGCTGCCTGGCTCTCGACGACTGCAGGCAGGTGAGCGCCCAGAACCCGGGCTGGGAAAAGGATGCCTCTTCTTCCCACCTCCAGCTCCCCTCCAGTTTGGGGAGGGGTCTCTGCCTAGCGCGCCTTGGAAAACAGCCCCGTTTTACTCCGGATGTGTCGTCCCCGGCTGGCAGAGATATTGCTCTCTCCGCCGCCCCTCGCCGGCTTTTGCAGTGCCCTGTGCCCTTGGGGGTGAGAATGGGGGGCGATGCCCGGTTTGCGGGAGGGCGTGGAGTTCTCCCTCATCTCCACCATCCTCGGAGGAGGGGGGCTGAGTTGGCAAGTCTCCCGGTGGGAGCTAGATGGACTGCGCCCCCATTTCCCATCCAGGAGAGTCAGAGAAAAAGCACCTCTTAGCTCTTGGGCCGGCTCCGCTGCCTTGGGCACAGGAGGTACTGAGGTCTTCGAGCTTGCCGGGGGTCGTAATCCTTCCCGCGTTGCTCCTAACACCCCTTCTTAATATCGCTAGCTCTCCGTTCCTTGAACTGCCAGTCTCAGGCTGTGCCAGAAATGCCCCCATCTCCGCAGTGCCGGGGCTGGGATGGAAGGAGCGGCCAACCCGAGGTCTGGTGGGGGTGGGGGTGAGAGTGGGCGCAACCGGAAAAGAGGGCTGGAATAGATTCCTGAACTGGGAGGATGGGAGTGGGGAGTTGACTTTGAACCACGCAGTAGGAGTGTTTTCCAGTATAGATCCTGCAGGTTTTGATGGTGGGTGAGAAGAGAGAGGTCAGGTTGGAGGACTTGGAAATGTGGTGTGGGTGGTTTTCTTTGAGAAGGAGGAGGGATCCAGGACAAGGTGCCACTAGGAGCTGATGTCACCTTTGAGGAGAGGTCTGCTGGCAGTATCCATTTAGAGGGGTATGTTTGTTGGGGCTGCTATTCTGCTGTTCTATGTGGTGAGCGAGTGGTTAAGGAGGAGGCTTTGCTTAGTTAGCATGGACATCCCCTCCTGGTGGGAGCTGAACAGGCCCCTCCAGTAGCCAGGTTTCAGGGACTTCCCTGTCTTTCCAGAGCTGTTGGAACTGATACCTAGTACTTTTGTTCAACACCCAGCAAACATTTATTTGGTACCTACTGTGTGCCAAGCACGATGCTATGTGCTGGGTCTTTTGAAGGCAATTTACGGCAATGGAGCAGCTGAAAGGTACACACTCTGTTAACAACTCCCCCGCTCCCATTTTATTGCACTGCTGTTGGATTAGGAAAAAGCAGAGCCCTGTCTACATGCTTTCAAACAGCTGTCTGAACTGGATTCCAACTCATCCACCCACTACCACTATTAACTGGACAGGTAGTCCCAAGAGAACCTGCCTTGGCAAAAGGGACAGTTTGAACGATTTTTCTTGGCTATTTTCTAGGACTTTGTCCTGAGGCCCGAGGAGGCTGCCTGAGATAAATAGCATCTCAAAATAATGAGATGATGAATCGCACAATGATTATTAGAGGCCAAGAATGCACGAGACACTCGGCACAGTGGGAGATGCCCTCTTGTGGAAGATAGAAGAGTGTGGGGAAGGGGGTGTGAGAAATCTCATTTAGTGGTACCTGGGCGTGTGCCGATGAGCATGTCATGATGTCAGAACTGTGGAGTATATG